ACGCTTGCATCTGGTTCGGCGCTTCCACCCGGTTCGACGCTTGCTTCCGATGTTCAGGGTTTGACGCATCCTCCTGGTGCAGCGTTTGCTCCCGGCGTTTCCGGTTTGACGCTCCCTACTAGTTCGACGCTTCATCATGCTGCTTTTAATTCAGCGCTCGCTCACGGCCGTCCAGGTTCGGCGCTTACTCATAGTATTATTGGATCAACGCTCACTCCAGGGATTCCTATTGCAAGTTTCACTCATTGGCCACTAGGCTCAATGCTTACTTATGGTGTTCCTGGTGTGGTACGATCTCAAGCTACTGGAGTGGTTCATGGTTCAACGCTTCCTCAGGTTTCAGCGTTTACCACACAAGTGCCATCATCTCATGTGGTGACTCAATCAGCTGTATGTTCATCCTCGCTGCGTGACATACCTCATTTTCCCTCTGGGGCTGCTACAATTTCATCAGTTCCTTCTGCTACAGTTTCGGCCAGGCGAGATCTGTTTTGCGGTTCCTGGAATCCAGTGTCTGAGGGGCAACGTCTCAACCTATGGACTTTGATGCCTTTGTGTTGGCGGTAGCATCAGGGAGCCAGTGTCATCTCCTGTTACTCAGTCATCAGGGATTTCGACTCACGCCAGCGGTGCCTGTGCAAGAGATTCTACGTTCAACAACGCCATCTATGTCTTCAGGAAGTATGTCTCCTTCGGATGTGAGTGTGGATGCTGTTGACTCACCTCAGCTACTTATCTGGATTGCTGATGACCTCACGTTACAGCGTGAGTACTTGAAGGATGACATTTTATCCAGTTTTGATATGAAGACTGGAGACTTTGGTTCTATCATGTTCCCTCCCGACCGTGCATCACTCAGCTGACTGCGTCCCTGGATGAGGCTTTTGCTGGTTTGAGGAAGATTAAAGATGGTTTTGCTTTCACCTCGCTTCAACTTGGCATTGGCTCATGTACATGGATTGTCATCTATGATTGCCTCTCCTCCAGTAGATGATGATATCACGTTGTTGGGGACGAAACAGATAGATTATTCGCCCTTTCTGGTGAAGACCGTGAACTGATACATTTAGATCGTCCATAAGGAAGATTATGGCTCCATTGAACTTAATGTTGACAACTACTGAAGCGGTGGCCATGTCTGTCAATGTGTCGTGCATGCGCTTGCCCATCAGCAAGCATACATCCGAGTTGCAGGAACAATTCCAAACCATCCTAGATCTCTTGGCTCATTTCTTCTTCTGTGTCACGGCTATGAGGCGTAGAGGACCGTTACAATTATCATCCTGGGAAGACAGATTCAGAAGCGGACCTGTTTCACCCCACCCTGGTCGGGCAATTCTCTGTTCAACGGGACAATTAGGGAAGTAGCCGAGAAAGAGTAGGGAAGGATGCCCATCTACAAGTCTCGATCCCGGTGTTGAGGTTCCAGCGACTACAAGTGGAGCAATCAATGAGACAGCGACGACCAGCTCACTATGTCCCGACTAATCCGGACCCATTTCGGGTTCTCGGCTTCTTTTAGGTGGGAGGGGTTCCTCACGGAAGACGGTCGAGGTAAGCCAACGAAGAACTGCCACTGCTCCACGATCAACTTCCACTACCGACCAGCCCACCTCACAGAGGCGTGATAGGCAATGACTTGTTGACATTGAAGGCCACTGGGAACTTCCACCTCCAGTCGTGCCCATTCAGATTTCCCCAGTAGGAGGCCGACTTGCTCCCCAATTGGACAATTTTGGGAGACCCTTACGTCCTGTCCATGTTAACCAAGGGATTCCAGTTACCAGTCATCAGGAAACCTCCGCTCCACAATACTTCGGATGCAGAGAGCGTATCCAAAACAACAATCGGCTGTTCTGCGATCAACGATAAACACTTTACTCAAGAAACTTGCGATCGAATCCCTGGGTCCGGCCCCGACCAATCCAGGGTTCTATTCTCCAATCTTTCTGGTGCCCAAGAAGGATTCGGACAAACTGAGATTAATCTTCAACATGAAGACTTTCAACGAGAAATTTCTGCAGCCCCCGCCTCATTTTCACATGATATCGGTGGCACTCCTCAAGACAATTATCAAGCCGGGAGACTGCATGGTCAGTTTGGATCTTCAGGATGCCTACCTCCACATCCCGATATTCCTGGCGTGTTCTCCGGTTTGGAATTTCTTCGGCCCCGTGGCTGTTTACACGGGTAACGAAGCCTATCACCAGTTTTCTTCATCGCAAGAGGACAGTGTTCGAAGCCTACATCGACGACTGCATTCAGGCACAGAACGATCATGCCCTTCTGGTTCGTCACATGCAGTTTGCGATACAGCTTCTTTGCCAATTAGGATGGTTAATCAATCTGCAGAAATCGGAACTAGTCCCAATGTGCCGACTTCAATTCATCGGAGCTGTTTTCGACACACAGGTCAACAGAATGTTTGTCCCGAGGGATCGTTTCTGCAGATACAGCGGTTGGTCTCCCTAGCTCTAAGCAAGCCAGGCAGCTCCGTCAATGGCAGGAACTCCTATGCCTCTTGGCGCCGGGCTCAGAAGACTATGAGGCAAGTCCTGTACTACATGTAGAGAAGTTTGACATTCAAGCTTACTGACCTCTACTCTTTGTGCAATCACGTCAGTGAAGTGGTGATCCCGATTTCCTGTATGGTTTTCAAAGCGTTCTGCTCCTAAGTCCTTTCTCACCTTTGGTAATTTAGGGAGATTGGTACTGAACGTTAAACTAGTTGAGCAACCAGGCTATTCCTTCTTTCACCGCCTTCCAGTGTGTCTGTGTGGGGATAGTTTGAAGCAGGGACTGTCAGATTAAGGTCCTGGACTTTAATTCACTGGGGTCACCTGATAAATCATTTTGGGATGGCGGGGCCTCCTTGCCAAACTGCGTCCTTTTGCTTTGTCAAAAGTTGCGGCTGAAAACCACATTAACTCGGGGCGCCCACTCCTTAGAGTTTTGTGCTGTATAAGCCAAGGGGTTACCTGAAAAAACACAAAAAACAACAAAAACATCTCAAGTTTGGAGTTTGCATATCGAGAGTTGGTGCTTTCTCCTGGCCTCCTTGAGTTATGCGTTTTTCCGGTGGTAGTAGTAACCGGGTAATCTGCAGCCATACCAACCGTGGGATTATGCATACTGTGAGATAGGATAAGTTTAAAATTTGAAAATGTTATAATAAATTGTATATTTATATACTTGTCCTATCTCACAGGTTTGGACCCACCCGACCTGCCCCACATCACAGATTACTGGAAGCTCCAAGACGAGAATGACAAGTAGAGGTGGTCATGTGATCGTTTAGGTGAGCCGCACGCTTTGATGGATGATTGACAGGCATTGATGTCGGGGGTGCAGGCAGAGGTCAGAGGGCGGATCAGAGGCCAGTTAGATTTGACTCAACTTAGCTGACAGCACGTTTCCACACATGGTCGTAGAAGAGAGATGGTGCATACCGTGAGATAGGATAAGTATATAAATATACAATATATTATAAAATTTTCAATTCTTTGGTAAACATTGATGTATGAATTGTAGGAAGGAATGATAACTGTATTTTTAAAAACATTTTTCCAAATATCAGGTCAGATTTGAAGTAGATAGTTATAGTCTAAGTGTGTCCCTCTTATTTTGTATTGTATCTTTAACTTATCAAAAGGCATAATTCCATGCTCATCACATACATGTTTTACTGTCAATAAACCCTTATACGCCCAGTGTCTAATATAAGTGTTTTTATGATTATGATTGAGCCATAATGGTTGTGCAAGAATGTGATCAGTATTGTCAGAATCGGCATTAACCTTTTTGCAATAATTGTTCCATGCTTTTAAACATCTTTCCAATAAGGGTTTTCAATGTTAAGTATTTTGTGAATATTTGCTCCATACTTGAAGATATCATTATAAGGTATAGTGAAAGGATTATTGTCGGATGATTTTTTACAGTAATTATTGTCTAAGAGTGGATAATTTTAGAGCTTCAATAAATGTTTTTAAATCTACCATACCAAGTCCCCCTTCAGCCTTTAATCTTTTCATTGTGATTCTTTTTATTATATCATTATTACCATTCCAAATGAATTTGAAAAATATCTTTTCAAGAAACTTGCTAAAGCCATCTGGAGGATTAGGCAATGAGCTTAAAATATGTACTACTTTTGAGAGGGCTAATGTTTTATGACAGTAACCTTTCTTATCAATGTTCCTAAGGTATACCGATCAAGCTGGATTGTGTCAAATAGTTGTTTTATTTAGAGAATGTGTTATTGCCATCGATTTCGAATAGGAATATCTCACACTCTCACAGCACACACACACGCACGCGCACGCACGCACACACACACACACACACACACACACACACACACACCTCTAAAAAAAACCACAAAATTATGACAGGGTCATAGGTAAATTTCTAATAACAAAAAATTGCACTCGACTGATTTTTATGTCACTGGATGAACATTGGTTGATGGTAACTTAGTGGTAAATAAAATCATCACTGTTTAAACAAGTTCATGGTCAGCACAGGTATGGATGGTATATAGTGCCTAAATGCAAGAGGTAATTCGTTTAGCAATTTCTAGAGCCAACAAAGAAACAGTACATTTTTAACCATTTACAATGATCCACTCTTATATGAACCCATGAAGATACGGGTTAGAGTTGATCTTCAGTAACCCATGCTTGTCGTAAGAGGCGACTAACAGGATCAGGTGGTCAGGTTTGCTGACTTGGTTGACACGTCATCTTATCCCAATTGGGTAGATCGATGCTCATGCTGTTGATCACTGGTTTGTCTTGTACAGACTCGATTATTCAGAGACTGCTGCCATATAGCTGGAATAGTGCTGAGTGTGGCGTAAAACTTAACTCACCTACTCACTCTTATATGTACCCTGAAATGAAAACATTGCTGATGCCTGGATTTGTACCAAAGTAGGTAAAATATCATATTTTTTCACATGTATTGTCCTAACAGACTCATTGCCAGATGCAAAAGAAGGAGAAACCCATGACAAAAAGGTTATTACAATTTGAGACACTTTTAAGAAATATTATAATGGTAAGCATTGCTTTATGCTAAAGGAACATGTTTGCACTTGGTGATAAATAATTTTACTTTTCAGGAAGGGAGAACAGACTCCAAAGAAGAGTAGATGTGATGACACCAAGAAAGGTATTAGCTGATGGGTATAGTATATGGGACTAATAAACTCAAGATGAATCATAATTTGGTATGTAAATGCTAAGTATGAGGTTGTGTCAGTTTCTCATTTGGCTTCAGATATGGCATTTTCTCACGTCATTCATTTTTCTGAAATGGTTTATTGTCTCAGTTGATAAATGCTACATTTGTACATACATTGAAGAATATTTGTGATACTCATGAAAATGTGTATGTGTGTGTGTGTGTGGGGGATACTAGAAGGTACAAACTGTAAAAGAACTGGAGCTATAGGCCTCATTTTGTGATGTTGAAATTTTGAACAAGAAGGGCAGCTAACTGCATATCTATTGCACTGTCTCAAAACCACCAAAATGAGATCAGTCTTGAAACATTTGTAAAAGAAACATGAATGTTTTGTTTTGTAACAGTGTAATGATGCAACATGTTACATCTTGGTGCAGAATAGAAAAAAGTGGATATGTAATGTCCGTTTAAGGGAACGTTAATTATTTATGGCTTTTGTTACATTGTTTTTTTTATTTATATTTTATTTTATTTATTTATTTATTTATTTATTGTGTGTGTGTGTGTGTGTGTTTGTAATGTGTTTGTTTGTTTGTTTGTTTGTTTGTTCATTCATTCATTGTGATGCTTCAGAAAAGGTAGGGTAATGTAATGTCCGTTTAAGGGAACGTTCATTATTTATGGCTTTTGTTACATTTTATTTATTTATTTATTTATTTATTTATTTATTTATTTATTTATTCATTGTGATGCTTCAGAAAAATTTAGGTAATGTAATGTCCATTTAAGGGAACGTTCATTATTTATTTTTGTTATTTATTTATTTATTTATTTATTTATTTATTTATTTTTATTTATTTATTTATTTATTTTTTTTATTTATTTATTTATTTATTTATTTATTTATTTATTTATTTATTTATTTATTTATTTATTTATTTATTTATTTATTTATTTATTTATTTATTTATTTATTTACTGTGCATTAATTAGGCACCACCCTATTTTGAAAATAAGATGTGATGCTTCAGAAAAGTTAGGGTATAGCCATCAATTTAATCAACCTGTAGTTAAAAAAGCTTTATCCACTGACAGTTTTACAGATACCATAACCTTTTCTATTCTTTATGAAAGAATATGTTGATTAAAATGTGATTGGACTGAAATTTTACCCAAAATAATTATTCCTCTCCTGCTCAAACTACACAATTGAATTACGTTTTGACTAAGAATAACAATTCTGTTATATACCAAGATGACATTTACACATCAAGTAAGCTTTAATTACGCATAATCAGGAAGAACCCGAATGTCAAAGATTCAGACATCTTTCCAACAATTCAGATTGCTAATTGACAAAACTGAAAAAGGCCACATTAATAAGATTTTGGAATAAATGTTTTATGATTTTGAGTTTATTGTAATGAATAAACACTTCCCCTTGCCGGATACTGATAATTACAGCTAAAATCTGTTTGTTTTGTTTGTAAAGCAACTTTTAATGCATTTTAAAATTTGCCTTTTTTTTAGTTTGACTGTAACTTTTCCTAAATCTTAGTTTACAAACTTTCATCCATTCACAATAAATAACGAATGTATAGGCCACACAACAATCAATTATTACTTTCACTTTTCAAAATTCCTGTTTTAATATGGGCAATTATCCTAATCAAAATTCAATGATGTTTTCGTTTTGAAATGTTAAATGCTTGCTCTATCAAATCATAAAGGTTATTTTTGGAAAGAGTTGAGAATTTTATTTCAGACAAAATTAATTGGTAGAAATAGAGGGTGGTGCTTGTTTTATGCACAGATGTTTATTTATTTATTTATTTATTTATTTATTTATTGATTTGATTGATTGATTGATTGATTGATTGATTGATTTTGAGGGTGGGGGTGGTGATGATTTTAAGGGGAGGGTCACCCATTTTTCTTCTGGGAGGTAGGGGTAGTCGTGCATTTTGTACACATGTACTCGGGCAGGGCAGCAATTTTGTACATAATTATATTTAAATTATAAATATACAAATTAATGTGAAGGCGAGGGAGGGGGGGGGCATAATTGTATTTGTACATGGGAGGGGGGTCACTTCCTTTGTACATAAATTTTAAGTTACTCAGATTGTACATGCTTCTCCATAAAAATCATCAAACTCCTCTCCCCCCTCCCCCCTTGTGATTTTTGTTGGACTTAAGTTTGTACTGCCAAAAGAAAATTAGCTTGCTAATGCTATTATTATCTCATTGAAACTGACTGTTGCTATTTTTTAACAAGCATAAAACATTAACTGAGTTAATGTATCTCGGTTGATGTATAACACAGTTTCCCAAATATGACCAAATATTGTGATGCAGGTACATGATATACATGTATGGTAGTTCACCTTGTCCAAGCATTCGTTCACAATGGTACAAGAATCTTATCAAAACGTCACACTTATAAAATAAAAGAAGTTGTTATCCATAAAAAATTGTTCAATATAAATAAAAACACTTCTATCTTTTTGTACTTCAGAGCAGCCACATATTACCTCGAGAGGTTAACCGGAATGCAAATCAACAGAATATGATACTGACCAAGTACCAGGAAGAGGTGTCCCCATCACTGTAGATGACAAGTGATGACAGTTATCTTGATGGACTACAGGAATGATTCAAGTGCATTCATTATGCAGTTTACTGATTTGTTTGATGTATTTTGATAATTGTTCTGGCATTCTGATGTCAGCTGAGTAACACCTCCATAATGGAGACAAATTAAGGAACTTCTGTTTTGAAGCAGTAAAATAGTCTCAGCAAGAATTTTTATTTATTTTGCCAGCAGAACAGAAGTTTCCATTAATTTTCCCACACAAACATTTTGTGCTTTTTCTGTTCCCCATTTGTGCTTATTGTCCTGCTGAACAATTGGACCACCTTTTCAGTGACATTTTTTTTACACTGCATGACAATGTGATTTATAAGTATGATTTGATATAGTTTGATGGTTTGATATTAGTATATGTGGCATGTAGTAAACAATGGAATAGTAAAGTTATGCCATATTTCTTGTATTTCATGATACTGGCTGTTATATTACTTTTGTGATAGTTAGTACTTAATTAAGGCTGGACATACTGGCAACTAAGTCTCTGCATGTCTGCCATGGAAGGCATGTAAAACTGTTGCCCTTTGCCAGAACGAAGAAAGTTTTATATGTGTAATTCATGATATGTGAATAATGTCTGACATGTGATGTTACATCTAAATATTTAATGTGTATGCTGTTAGTCTTAGAAAAAAGAAAATTACCCCATCTTGAAATATTCAGCTTTGTCAGTTTTTGTTGCTCCAGATTTTGCCATATTTTGTTTCTGGAGGACATTTTGTGAAATGTAGTTACCTATCATGAGTTCATACCAAATCATTTGATAAAGGTAATAATTTATAAACAAGATGTGCAGCCCACTGAAACAGTGTTGTTTCCACAATGACTACAACACAAAGATTAATGAGATTATTCTTCATTAGTCCCGGGGAATTGTTTTGGTAAAATGTTCATGTCACAAGACAACACAGGTTCTAAGAAGGAATTCACACATGCATAATTAAACATGACATGTGCCTTCTCCTTTCAAATGGATACCCTGTTCTTTGAAGGTTTTGGTCATGATAATTAAAGTTGATGTCAGTGTTCATGTAGCTGTAAAACATGTTTCACTTATTATTACTCATATATGATGCAAGGTATTCCTCATTTTCATGTCTGGTTATAATTACTGCCATGTTTAATGTTAGTGCTATGTCAACATTCAAGGTGACATTTGAGGTGATTGTGAGTGAGTATGGTTTTACACCACTTTTAGCAATATTCCAGCAATATCACGACGGGGGACACCAGAAATGGGCTGTACCCATGTGGGGAATCAAAACAGGGTCTTCTGGGTGATGAGCGAACATTTTAACCACTAGCTATAGGCTAAACCACCACACACCCCACACCCCACCCTCCCCCGAGATGATTGTGAAATGTGACTGTAATACTTGTATTTATATCATAGACTTGGTTATTGTTGGATTTTAATCAGTTGTATGGTTTTAAATTATTCTTGTAACACTTGAAAATACTTTAAGGAATGGAATGTAGGGGATGCTTCTGTTTATGAAAGTATTTTCAAATAGCTACCTTGGTTTGTTTACTAGTTTATATTTTCACAAATATGATGGGTGTAATGTTCAATGCCATATACATGTAACCTCCACGTATTTACACATTTCACGTTGGTGAGCCAATGGCATTACTTCAATTGTTTGTAAGAGTCTTTTCAACAGACATAAAGATATGTGTGTGAACCAACTTAATGAGTTCGGTACTACATATAATTACATTTCATAGTATTCTTCTAGCCTGTCCCATTTCAAGACAGGCTGCTCTGTATTTTAGTAATAAAACATCTTTAACAAAACTCATTTCTTTTTGTCATTTTATGGGGAAATCTGACAATGGTCAGTTTTTTATCTGGTCAGCTGATGCTCTACAACATTTCTGAATACACAAACAACTAACACCATGCATGTTTTGATGGATGTCTATACTTGGACAGAAAAAGTCCACTGTGACATGTTCACCTTGCACATGCTTGTCTATGTTCAGCTGCATAAACTTATGTGACGCCACAGGCATTGATTTGACTCCCTACCCCAATGCAAATATATAAAGTTGATGCCCTTGATTGGGATGTGACTGGTATGATACTGATAGAGGCATCATAACCAACTATCTCTCATTTCACACTATTTCAAAGATGTCCCAAATGTTTAAACTTAAAAATCACATAACACATTTGCATCTTTTACCTTTAGTAAACTGTGCTAAAGGTGTCCTGTATACATTGCTTCTCATGCATACTGTATAAGCACACCTATATTTCAAGTTTAGACCAGACCAATTCTATTTCTTGTTTTATGTATCCTCCAGTTGTATTTTTTCAAGAATACGAAAAGAAATAAAAGTGAATTTTCCCCACTCAAAAAATAAAATCCTAATGTTTTTATTGGTCAAAAATGTAAACTTACATGAAATTCTTCTGAGGACAAAAATATGTAAAACAAGAAATACATTGGTCTGGCCTTATTGATAAAGAACATGGCACATAACCCAAGAATTGATTACCAAACACCAAATTCAGTTCCAACAGGGAAGACCTGCAGACAACCCTCCACCCTGCTAAAAGACTGAGTATGGGTTTACACCACTTTTAGCAATACTCCAATATTATGGCAGAAGACACCAGAAATGGACTTGAAACATTGTACCGATGTGGGGAATCGAACCGGGCCTTCGGCATGATGAGAGAACACTTTAACCACTAGGCCACCCCCACCCCACCTAAAAGAGTAGAATTCACACTCTCTCAAATTTTCTAAAGTTACACACTCACCCTGTGTGCATAGTGGTAACAAAACAGGCTCTGTCATGAGGAAGATGTATTATATATTTATTCTACAGTTTATCAATGTACTGATTGATTAAAGTAAAGTGCAATTATGACTTGACAGATTGATCAACAATCATCTAGAATGTGGGTGACATAACATAACAATCTGTCTTCCTCTGTCAAACTCTGAGAGACAATGATACATAACTGAGAGAGAGAGAGGAGGGGAGGGAGGGTGTCATCAATTTTGTATACATGCACTTGGTGTGTTTTCATGAAGGAAGAGGGGTGGGGTGGGACTGTTATTCACATTGTACGTGCTTCTCCATAAAAATTATCATCACTCGATCCCAGCCCAGCTATACATTATGAACGGTCCCTTGCAAATTTTCGATCGAACTTTTAACAAACATTTGAGTATTGCTATATTTTCTTTCATATTTATAAATGGTAGTATGGAAGGAAATGCTGTTTTTGTTATGTTGTAGGGGAAAATGCATTCTCATTACACGCTATTCAACTTTACACGACTCAACAGAAGTAAAGATACTTCCGTGTTCAAGAGAGAAGAAGTGCGTACGAAACACGTATGACGTGGTCACATAAGCTCCGCCCACTCATGTTTATTTATGATTTCTGTGCACTTAAGACCATTGTGCGTTTAAGGGCACAACAATTGACAGACTGGATCGGTCTATTCCAGAGATATATTTATTGTTTGTGTGGTCGAAGAGATAATAGTGATGCTTTACAATGCTTATATTACAGTGAAGCAGAGAGTGATACAGCAGCCACTGACCCCAGTCCTACATAGAACAACTCCATCAAACATTACATGAACAGGGGAGGCAACTCAAGGAAAAGGTTGACAAAATAGAAAAATTGAACAGAAAACTTGAACTTGGAAAGTTTGGAGTTTGTAAATTCATGTATGATGATAAAAATTGATTGAACATTTTACAGTATTCCATCATTTCAAACATTGGCACTGATTAGCTGGAACTTTTTCATTTGTTCAATATCTTCCCAGGTTTTGTGAAGTACCTTGCCCAAACAGCACAAAAATTGACAGACATGAATGTAAATGAAATTGTTTGGTGCTTTTGTGTTGTGTAAATGATGGATGAAAAAAGAGACAGTTGTAATACATACACATTGATGGATTTAACTGAATAATAGAAAGGTCTTTCATAATGGCATAGTTGTAGATGTAACTCATTTGCTGCTGTTTAATTAATAATTGATAAAAAAGAATGTATTTCATCCTGTTTGAAAAGTGTTAGTTGGGAATCAGAAAAAAACATCATTCATAGGTAAGAGATTATGATAATGTGTAAGGGGAGAGAACTATGATAAATTATGCATTGATCCAGCTGTAATTGTTGCAATTTATGTCAGACTAATCTAAAAGGATAGTTCTATCAACATAAATATTGCACCCAATATATTTTCAATTTGCATCCTCTGAAAATTTTATTGTTATTCATCAGTATTACAGTTGGAAGCTATTGTGAATGTGCCTATTGTTATTGGACTTTTAAGACGCCATTTCAAAATAATTTTTTATTAACTGCACTCCAGGTGTTCGTTATTTATTTGGGTTAATTGTTTGCTGTAGTGTGAATCCTGTTATGTTAATCTTATAATATGTTCTCCTTAAAAATGTCTTCAGTTGCAGTGGAACAGAATAAATACACCTGATCTACAATAAATCAATTTTATGGTATAGTAACACAGTATTGGAAATTGGTTCAAATATTCCCCATGCAGGTACCACTTGTCCATTTAGGTAAATTAATTATTCACCTCCAAATCAGTCAAGAAAAAACTTGAAAAAAATCATCCAGTTTTGTCTTGCACATTGTGTCCCACCAGAGACCATAATAGATATGGTCTCTGGTCCCACTCATGTTGAGTGAAATAAATAGTTTCTACATGACGATGTGGCGATTCGTTTTTCCTCTGCGATTGTAACATGCAGCTACGCGCACATCGCCATCACCACTAGTCCTGTACAACTGAAAATAAATGCGTGAATAAATACCCTATATCTATAAAACAGAGTCGATAGGACAAAACATTTTAAACAGAAAAAAATACCAAACAAATAATTTCATCACATGAATAATACAAACAAATTTGTTTGGTCCAGATCCACTCGAGGAGAGCTATCTTGATCTACACATTACTTATAATCTCGATTATCGAGCTCAAGAATTAACAACACTACTCCCATGTGGAAGTGGATGATTTGAATCCAGGTCAGGAAATACGTTGAGTCTTTTGCTTTGTTCATATGTTGATAAAGTAAACGTGATTGACTTCCCTTGGTAATATTTCCACTATTGTGACTTTAGAGTAGCTTCCCTTCATAAATGCTGCGCAACAAGGTAAACGTTACCTAGATATCTAGGTCATATGACTTATCGTGATGTGTCGTGATGTACAGTAATTATTCACCCTTCAATCCGTGGATATGCTACAGAAACATTTGTGTAGCCCTTTCCCATTACTCTGCGATTTCCCTGAACTACTGGACAGTTTCGTAATGTACCGTTCAAGGGAAATTTGAAACCAGGAAGTATACATTAAGATTTGTCGCCATTATGCGATTGTGTCCTTGCCCCATTTAGCCTCGTTTTGGTACAGATATGAATATTCATGAGGCCTCATTAAGAATGGTCTATAATGTACTTTAGCTATAATGTTGCATATTCAACAATTGTAAGAATATATATTCAGGCCAATGACATTTTTATGCAAGATTTATTGAAAACTTGTTTACAGTTACCAAAGGTAATTAATCCTATAGAATAATATTGACAATAGACAAATGTCAGGAGAATAATCAATCTAGAAGCTAATTCAAAAGCAAAACTATCTAGCAAAAAGAAGTTACGCATTATCTGTACGTCCGGACGCTACACTTGTAAAATAAAATAAACGGTTGGCTTAATTTGAAAGCTTTTTTACAATTGAATGTACACTTTACAATCATTTTTACCTATAGAAGGATTAAACATACCATGGTGAACGTCAGATGATCTGAAGACACTTACTGCCGTGTCCACCTGTTGTGACCACCATGACGTTTCATAGTCACTGTCACTGCACATGATTGTCACATTAAGCTTTATATTTCCTTCAATGGATGTCAATGGAAATTGCAGGGGTCTTATAACATTGCTGTGTAAAGCTGCAACAGTTTAAAACGGTTGTGTTAGTTCACTACACCAGTTAACGGTCAAGTGAGTAAAATCGTTAAGTCAAAAATATTGCATTTACATTGAATTTGTCGCGAACAATCAAAATCACCATTTCATTATTTCCTATCTAGGTGGGGTTTTTTCACTTTCATTTACCGTAGGATTTGCCTTTGTAATTTCGTTTACCTTCATGCCTATGCATTACTCGTCCCATTGATCTTCCGATTGATTGGTCAAAAATGGAATAAAAACTAAAAATTATGTTAGTATAAGTGACACACGACAATAGGATACAGACAATACGTAAATTCTGAGAATGAAAAGTCTATGCAATGCAAATGGACATTCGGCTCACACAACCTACCTCGTGGCAGCAGACTCTGGAATTTGTCAGTAACTGTTGTGAATGTTGCAAGAATCTGACTTTTTACATCCGTTACGTGATGACAATAGCCGGTACGTTGTGGTAGCGTGGCACTCTGACATATTGTTTTTTACATATTGTTTCGGTAATCGAGCGGAAGGTGTGATTAACTACATTTTAATAGTAGATGATGATGATGATGATGATGATGATGATGATGATGATGATGATGATGATGATCACTTCACGCATTCACGCTTTATATCTTGCCTGGGCAATCAACTGCGTTATTCGTGTATCTTGTTCGAAAATTTATTCGACCTGTTTTCAAACTGTTACAATCAACCATTGTTGTATTAATGCATTTGTTGTTGTAAAGATGAAGGGTAACGTGGATAACAAAGCAAAGGAATAAATGGAAAACAACGTTTTGTTTATTATTTGATGTTTATTCAATAAACAAGTAGTTTTCCATAAAGTCGTGTGCTTCCTTATTGACTCACCAACTTCTAGAATGACGATCGAACAATGGGTGACGTGGACGTTTTGTCGCGGTCAGGAAATGGCTGCCGACGTTATGACCAACGGGGATGTATGAAAAAGGTTTTGACGAATACATTGATTTAAGTATGTTTACTCACATGGAATCTTTCAGTTTGTTATATGACCCTTGGCTCTAATGACATGTCGTAATCTGTTGGGAATAGACGTGTATAAGCTCTGTATGTAATGAGGACGGAGGTCAGCCCACCAACGGTTAATGACACGTATCAGATTGTCTCTGGGGTTAATGTTGTAAATTTCGCGTTGAAGTCGAATTTTCAGTGTTCTCCATACATTTTCAGTAATATTCATGCCTGGGCTCTGAGAGGGCCATGCCATGCCACGAATCTGATTTTCGTCTTTCCAGCGGCGAGTCTGACTTGAAGTGTGTACGGGGGCATTGCCATCCTGAAAAATCCAGCCCCAACTAGGAACATTCTTGGCAATAACAGGCAAAAGATTGTCATCTCACTCACTTACTTCCCCGTGAAGGTCCGGGTTAGAATGAACCTTCAGTAACCCATGATTGTCGTAAGAGACGACTAACGGGATCGGGTGGTCAGGCTTGCTGACTGGGTTGACACATGTCATCGCATCCCAATTGCGTAGATCGATGCTCATGCTGTTGATCCCTGGATTGTCTGGTCCAGATCCGATTATTTACAGACCGCCGCCATATATTTGGAATATTGCTGAGTGCGGCGTAAAACTCAACCCACTCACTCACTCACTCTCTCACACACATACACACGCCACACACACATGCACACACACACACGCCACACACACACGCGCCACACACACGTCACCGCCACCACACACACCCCAAAACATCACTGATATTTTACGGCCGCCTCGCTGACCCAAACAACTCCGGTCTCCAAATTTCGTTAGGCTTACGCCAAACACTTTGATGCACTTCTGCTGATCAATAACCACTAAATATTAGCATTTTTTTCCTGAATTTTCATCAACATTCCCCACCTGAAAGTTTCTGTTTGACGAGCCAACGCTTTAACCACTCAGGCTACCCGCCACACGGCAATTTTTTCGGTTGACAGGACTCCGGCGTCAAATGAACGCAAATGATAAAAGAAATATTTCATAACACACAAACATATGTTTCAGGATAAGTCTTTTTCTTTGTTTATGATAATGTGGTTATTTCTCTCTCATAAGTATACAAACGAAAGATGGAAAAGATACCTCTTTGTATGGAATCAAAATAATGATGTAAAGCTCTTGTCCAAAGGAATTCAAAGATATGGCATGGTTTAAGTTTAGTTTCTTTTACCATTCCTGTAGAAATATAGTTTACAGCTAGATATCATGTCATCACAATATTGTTTTCGAATATAAACTGATTTCATTATCATTAACAATGAGTGAATCGTAAAACGTTTGTGACAAAACGCGCACCTGGCCAGTCATTATACATCATTGTTTTCACCATAAAACCCATATTAAAAAATTCAGTGAAGAAGATCGATTCTCATGCTGTTGATCCCTTTGATTGTCTGGTCCAGACTCGATTGAGTCTACAGACCGCCGCCATATAGCTGGAATATTGCTGAGTGCGGCGCGTAAATCTAAACCCTACTCACTCACTCATTCAGTGAAGAAGACAATTCCTTTTAAAATGTGTACATATTCAGTTCAGGATATATATCAATCATTAAGATTGTCAGTTTTACTTAATGAATCACTGTTCATTAACCTATTCATATGAAATAACAATTAATATAGAATTGCACATAGTAAGAACTAAAGTACATGTTATGCCAACGTTTCATCCTCTAACACTTGTGTAAAGGCTAAATATGTCGTCACCTTGTCCCCCTTAAGTCATACGCCTAAAATAATTCGTTTAAAAATAGATACAGCTACAAAAATATGGCTGCTTCCTTTTTCATCAGGACCATGCCGAGTGGGACATGTCCCACCGTGACCGTGTTGGTGTCCACAATTAACATACTTGATGTGTTATGGTAACAACTCAGGGGCGAGCGTGGCTAGACTGAATGAATGACAGGTTTATTCGCGGTGTATAAATATTCGCGCTAAAATGTTTTGCGCGAAAAGCGCGAAAATAAAACCTGCGCGAAATATACTACGTTTACAGTATATTGCAGAAAACACGGTTCCTATATTATTATCATGATAATCATTTCCTGAAACTGTGGTAATCTAAACTTGCCAAATATTTTAGATTTGCATTGGCTTTCTTGGATATATTTGTTTTAGGGTCTGTATGGCAGACTACCTGTGCTGTGCGCCGTAAAACTAAACAAACGCACTCACTCATTGCATCGATGTTACTCATAACATTGATCACGGGTTTATCTAGACCAATCCATTTCTTTTCAGTCTGTGGTCAAACAATAAGAACTGTGCCGAGTTGAACAACAGGAAAACAAAACAAATAGAGCATGTTAATCATGAAAACCTGACTGGACTGACTGAATTTGGTTTTACGCCGCTTTTAGAAAGCAATATTCCAGCAACATCAACGACGGGGACACCAGAAAATGGGCTTCCACAATTCATGAAAACCTGAAGCGTCATTGCGGTTACAAATAGGCCTTTGAGTATTAGGTAATGGGGAACAATCCCTGTTACTACTGTATGATACATGTTCATTGTGCGTATATGAATCACCGTCACATTGTATTGATAACAGCCGTTTGTGAACATTTCACCGTACCCTACCCAACCGGTTGCCCCCATCACAAATACACACAAAGGCATATCAATTATTCATCTGAAAACACATGAGAACATCAAAAACTATACACACCACTTTGCACGTGCTGGAGCACGCCATTTGTTTGGCACTGCATCATAAGACAGTTTGATTGTCGCGTCCTGCTTCCAACCACGTGGCACCGGTTTTGCTGGTCCAGACATTCTGCAGATCACAAGTAGAATTCGGCATTATAATACTGACATGTGTAACTTCGCCATTAAAACTTTACAGGTGTTATTTTCTCATGAAACATTGTCAGGTGTAACTTTCTCATGAAACATTGTCAGGTGTAACTTTCTCATTAAAACAAATTACAAGTACAGTTTATTAACAGGTGTTCTCAAAAAACAGCCATCTGTTTAATTTTGTCATTAAAACATTCACATTTCATTGACATTGCAGCTGAAATTTAAACATGAGTAGTGAAGATGGAAATGGCTCGATTCCGTTACCAGTGCTTTTAAAGATACCCATCAAGCGTTCGGCTAGTGCGCTGCTTAATTCAAAATCGTGACTTACATGTTGTGATATTTTTAGTGATGCATATTTTGCTCCACTCATAGTGTCTAATGTAACAACATTAATGTCGAAAACATTTTCCACTGTGACGTATGTATGCCACATGGGGTTTTTTAACATTCTTCTCTATTTATCAAGGAAGAACCACTTACTTATTTCAATTGGCAGTGCTTGTCCATTTTGGCACTGATACTTGATGCAGGGATTGTTGTTCATGATGAAGACGGCGGCGTGGTTGAAGGTTTGTCCGGACACGAGGCAACCATTTGCCTGGTTCTGAGCTGTCGTCAAAAACAAAAACTTCATTCAAACAAAACTGTCTATATATCTCAGTCTATTTCAACTGGGGAGGGCTACAAGCATACACTTAGGACCTGCCGTAGAAGAGCATATATACTCTTTAAAAAAAGTAGGGGAGCCCGAACTTTCAATTTGGATAGGAAGTATGAGCGTTAACAAACTTTTCAAAGACAGATATCTTATGAACGCACCACCATTTCTCTTTATCACCACCCCTAAACAAGACCGCCTCCGTGGTGTAGTGGTTAGAGCGTCCGCCCGAGGAGCGGAAGGTCGCGGGTTCGATCCCCGACCGCGTCATACCAAAAGACGTTAAAATGTGGTACTTGTTGGTCCCTGCCTGACGCTCGGCAGTAATGGGCACAACAAGGACTGGTCGGCTCGGAGTCGGTACAATGTGTCTGAGTTGGGTATTCATGCTTCACTGCGGCATGGTATCTTAGTGGGCTAGCACTATAAAACCAGCTTAAGTCTGGGCTAGTACAAGCAGACGCACATACGCAAACACACGTATGCACGTCGTCATATGAGCGAAATATTCTCAAGCACGACGTTAAACCCAATTTCACCTCACCTCACCCCTAAACACAACTCACGGGATGCACACCCCGCAGTAGCCCCATACACGTGCATAGGGTGTCATTCTTGATTTTGACGGTTTTCAAGAAGGTCAATAAATCACTGTAGAACATTAATTTTGACAATCATCTTTTCATCACATAGTTGTTAGTGTTTGTTTCTAGCCATTTGTGTGTGTTGTTTTTTTTATAACGAAAATCGTACACAAGCATAATTTACGCCATACACCAGTCATCTTTCAAGAGTGATTACTGTGCAAACAACTATGGTCATACGGAAGTAGTGATGCACTCTCGAAACATTCATTATTATCATATCCACACTGATGATCAGACTTAAAAGTGAAGTTCCTCTACTCTTTTTAAGTGAGTGAGTGAGTGAGTTGGGTTTTACGCCGCTTTTAGCAATGTTACAGCAATATCACGGCGGGGGACACCAGAAATGGGCTTCACACATTGTACCCATGTGGGGAATCGAACCCGGGCCTTCGGCGTGACGAGCGAACGCTTTAACCACTAGGCTACCCCACCGCCCTACTCTTTTTAAGAGTATATAATAGCATTGGGGTAGCACTGAGGTTGAGGTGCTCGCTGTTAACTCCGAAATACAAGCCCAATTACAAACCCTAAAGATGTGTGACCTCTTGGTCACATATAAAAAGGACAGTGAAACGTCGTTGTGTCGAAATTGAAGAGACCTACGTCAATACTTCGACTTATATGAAGTTCGACACAACTGAAGCATATATGAATAAAGAAAGAAGGGACAACGCTTTTACTTCTGGGCATTCGTAAGTTCACCTTATGTTATATTTGGGAATACACTTTCTTAGTAAAGTACAAATTCTAGTACTTTTGGGGTTGAGTCCCATCCGGACTGTACGTTCTACAACCGTATGTTCGAAACAACAGTAGCTGTAGTTCTCTTTTCGTTCCTATAAAACTCCGTTTTACTGGCGATTGGACTCTTAGTGTATGGACCTGGTTACAGATCGTAGCACCCATACTTTAACCTCAGTTAACAAGAGTCGCAACACTAACATCCCTTTGTAAACCTAGCTTAACTTGAGATGGTTGATAGACTACCCTGCATTACCCTCGTTACAGTAAACACATTCGTCATATTTAATACAGGACGGTTAAGACAGGGCGATGTGTTTGTTTGTTTGTTTGTTTGTTTGTTTGCTGTTGACGCCGCAATATTTCAGCTATATGGCGGCGGTCTGTACATGATCGAGTCTGGAGTAGGCAACCCAGTGATCAAGGCAGGAGCCTTCTAGCCTGGCCACTAGAACCCATTATTCGCCTCAAACGACAAGCATGGATTGGTGAAGATCAATTCTGACCTGATCTTCACTGGTATTTAAGACAGTCTTAACAATATGATTCTTTTGTTAACCTGGCTCAACCTGCATTTCGTTAGAATGCTTACACATTAATCAAATTGAACAGTTAATACACGACGAGTGTGTGAGAATAGTAATATCACGGCGGGGGACACCGGAAATGGGCTTCGAATGTACCTATGTGAGTAATCGAACCCGGGTTTTCGACGTAACGAGCGATCGCTATAACCACTAGGCTACCCGCGGCCCAAATACAGGACGAACGTCAGAACCAGATGTGATGACCTCAAGTATACTCACGTCTTAAGTGTTTCCACTGGTTAGGATCACTCATCTTCTTGGCTCTGTCCACTTCTGAAGGCATGGTCAGCCCAGGGGTCGCCAGAAACAGCAGGAACGACACCGTCTGCAACGTCGTCATGATGATATTTGCTCTGGCTCAACTGGAATGAATCGAAATGTGGTTTGAATGTTTCACCGAAATACGGTAATTTCTATAAATACAGTGAAATCCTTTTATCTCCGTGTTAAAACTTCGAGATATCCGTACATTCGAGATAACGAGGTATGAACATCCATTCAGATCAAGTACCAATATTATAGATACATGATAATACAATTGCATACACAAGGAATTAAGACATGTATGTGATAATTGCAGCTTTTGGGGTAGCCGCTGATCGCCCGTTCGAACAGCGTGTCCCACTCATCGGAGCTGGTTCTTCAGTATCATAGCTTTGATGCTGATTGATTCGGCTTGGTCAAAGACTTCGAAATTTGTAACTCGGTCCTACCATCAAATGTTCAGAATGGACCTCAGACTGCGCGTATGGAATTGCTCCAGTTGTTTGAGGTGTCGTGAGTACAGGGTCCATGACTCATAGGAGGAGGCTGATGAGGACCACGGCCCTGTATGCCTTCAACCTGGTGGACAGCTTGATGCTGTGCTGGTCAAAGACACGTGCACGAGGACGACCGTGTGCTTGGCTGGCCTTGCAGATCCTGAAGCTGGTCTCTTTATCCAGGGTTCCGTTGTTGCTGATGGTCGTCCGTCGTCGTCCACGGTCTTCAGCTGAGTTCCCTCGATGGAGATGGAGGGAGGGTGGGAAGTGGAAGCGGGCGCTGGCTGGAAAAGGAATTCTGTCTTGCCGAGGCTGGTGGTGAGGCCAAAGAGACGGGAGGCTTTTCAGCAAACTTGTTCACGATGAACTGGAGGTCAGACTCCTCGTGAGCCATGAGGGCATAGTCATCGGCAAACAGCGCTGCTATGACGAGCTTTTCCACAGTCTTTGTCTTGCTACTCAGCCGGTGGATGTTAAACATGGATCCATCGAACCCGTACAGCAGGTACACTTCAAGGTCCAGGTCCCCGTTTCACAAAGCTCTCGTAAGCCTAAGATCTCGTAACTATTCTCGTAGTATCCGTACCTCTTATACTGTAAAATAGGAGGTACGAATGCTACGAGAAAGGTCACGAGATCTTAGGCTTACGAGAGCTTTGTGAAACGGAGCCAGATCCCTAACGGCATGGCTGAATTACATAGGCGAAAAACAGGTTGAAGAGGACCGGGGCCAGCACGCATCCCTGCTTGACGTCGTTGCTGATGTTGAACGGCAAACCAGAAAGAACCTGCCCAGTCTTGACGTCGCGATACTGGCGTATGATGTTCACGAATTTGTCAGGGCATCCGAGCTTGGACAGGATGATCCAGAAGGTCTCTCTGTTCATCGTGTCGAAGGCCTTTGTTAGATCTATAAAGACTGTATACAAGTCCATGTTCTGCTCGAGGCATTTTTCCTGCACCATACAGACAGTGAAGATCATGTAGACTGTGCCACGATTCGACCTGAAACCAGACTGGGTCTCGGGCAGGTTTCCCTCAGAGATGTTTGCGATCAGGCGGTTAAGGATGACCCGAGCCAGGACCTTTCCAGCAATGGAGAGAAGAGAGATGTCCCGGTAATCGCCGCAGTCAGTCTTGCTGCCCTTATTATTGAACAGAGAGACGACCGTGGCATCAATAAAATCTTTGGGCAGTTTCTCTTCTTCCCATATGCTGGTAAGGAGGGCCGACTATGTCGGTTGGAAATGGTCGGTGTTGCCATGAAACAAACGCTGGTTTGCCATGAGAAGTAGATTCTGTAGATATGTATGGGATTTACTTGTGCTCATTGGGGACACATCACTTCAGTGGGTGTGTTGAGCTCGGTAAAAGGGAATGACCTGTACCTAGGCTAGATTTGAACTCTCTTGTGAGTTTTGAAGAGATTGATTTCAGCCTTCCCAATTCAAGCATATTCAATTAGAAATCCAGGCGTCGAGTAGAGGAAATACGGTAAGTGTATTTCATTCACCTGTCGATAAAGCGCACTGAATCCCTTACCACATGACCATATTACAAAAAGAATTGTGAAAAGTAACACTGTTGTTCTACTTGTGTCCACCCAAACGCTGAACTGTTTGATTCCATCTGTATTTATTAAGAACAATATTTTTATAAAAATATTTTGCGAAAGTACTTAAATAACAAATACAAGAAAAGGTCAAACTCCTACATGCAAAACAAACAACATCCATCCTACTACTCGGTAATCTGATGCGTTAATCTGATTTAACAGTGAAAAGAGATGCGTTTTAAGCATGACCTTGCTAATTAGGGCGTTAACTATAATCCGATATTCGTAAACTGTGTTCGGATTAACTACTGGCTAAGTGGGAGTAAATCATTTGAACGCAGCAAAATATGGAGACAGTTTTAAGGCGACGGGCAGTTCATTCCACAGCGATGGAGCACAAATACTGAAAGAACCTTCCCATAAGAGGCCAGTATATAAGGAGTTTTCAATAAGAATTTGCTATATAAATTCTTTTTAACACAAGATGAAGACAATGATAATGGCAACGAATCAGAACAATATTGATAATAATTGATAATAATAAAATAATAATGTGTCACATAAAATCAGCACAGACAGTTTTTCACGGGACATCAACACAAGAACATATGGTTCCAGGACATGTCCTTGGCTATGACGCCGAAAATGTGATTATAAGAAATGAAATTTAAAAATGGCTTTAAATAATATCCAAATTTACCAAATTCAAGAAATAGTTAAATTACCTCGTGCAACCGCGGCTTTGAGCGGATCAGTCGTTGGTGCTGAAACGTTCTGCCTTTCAACATCCGTCCCTTATAGCCGTGGGACCTTCTGCCAGTTCTGACCTTTGACATAATGGGCTGTGATCATACGCCTACACACTACGGCGGAAAAGCTTTATTTAGCTAAATATTCCAATTGGAAGATCATTATGAGAAACTATTATAACGTTGGATAGCATGCCCCTGAAATGAACATTGCTCTTAACGAGTAGTTTTCATCACGTTTAATTGGAACCTAATGGTTAGATTAAATAATTCTCTTTATGCTATTTAACATAGATCAGTAGGTCACGGCTCAACATGTGCTCGGCGGTCATCTGTTCAACGAATAAACGTCGAGGGGAACGATTGGGGTACAGTTGGACCGAATGAGTAGGGATTGCAGGTTTATCTTTTGCAATGTTAAAGACTATGGTCTTCATGCATTTGGCGCTATCCACAGTGTGGGTATAATCGATTGCTGATTTAGGGGATAACATACCGTGTTAGAAAATCAGAGCCATATAACGTGATTATATCCCTCTGAGTGACTTTAGTTGACCAATCACAATCCAGTATTTACTGATGTCATGGTAGAATTGTTGTTTAACGCCGCACTAAGCAATAATCCAGCTATATGGCGGCGGTCTGTAAATAATCGAGTCTGGACCAGACAATCCAGTAATCAACATCATGAGCATTGATCTACGCAATTGGAATACGATGGCATCAGTCAACCAAGTCAGCGAGCTTGACCACCCTGATCCCGTCGCCTTTTACGACAAGCATGGGTGACTGTAAACCAATTATAACCCGGATCTTCACATACACGCATAGACTTAGTACCTGGCAAGAGAAGAGGATTTTAATAGCATAGATGCATTGGGGTAGCACTGAGGTTGAGGTGCTCGTTCCTAACTACAAAACAGAGTGTGGCTATGAAGGCGACAAAGAAATGGTCATAATCGGAGCGAAGACACTTGATGGCCATTTACTGAACGGATGTAACTAGGCTTTCCAGATCATCGTGAAGAATGTGAAACAAAAAGAATATTGGAAACGCAAAATATATTTTATTCAGAAATCCAAACCTACCAAAAGACACCAGTTCACCACCAGACCTATCTATGTGCCAAGTTTAATACCCCACACAAAACGCGTTGCGGGGGATAACAAATGGTAGTTAGGTGACCTTAGCGCCAAGATGGCTTTGTGGACCGGGACTAGCTATAGGGTGTTTACGAGTTAGCCATATGCATTCACGCCGGGCCCGGGTTCGATTCCCTACATGTGAGGCCGATTTCTGGTGTACAGCGTTCGAATTGAAGCCACGTAAACCGCAATGACTCAATGTTGGAATAATATGGTGCAACATGTATTTGAAAATAGAAACTTCAAGGTTGCCGAATGATCGTGACTGTCCGGGTAACATTAATTGCACCGGAAGCGTAACTTATAAACTATTTTAATTGTAAGTAATTTTGTTGATGACCACGACCTGTAGTTCTCTACTGATTTTATCTCATACAACCATTATCATAAATTAGTTTCATTATAAGTAGAGGCAGAGGAGGATCAATGTGTTCGAGGAGGTTCGATGCGTGCGTGTGTGTGTGTGTGTGTGTGTGTCTGTCTGCTTGTGTGCGTGCCAGCGCGTGCGTGAGTGCGCGCGCGTGTGTGTGTGTGCGACTGTGTGTGAGTGAGTGTGCTTTTGTGCGTGTGCGCGCGCATGTGTGTGTCTGTGTGTGAGTGCACACGTGCGTGCGCTTTTTCTGTGCTTGCGCGCGCATGTGCGTACGTGAGCGTGTATGTGCGCGTGTGTGAGACGCATGACAAAAAAATACACTCCAAGCAACATGGTCTAGTGTAATAAGTCAACATCTAGTCATGAAAAATCAAATAGTTTGAAAAATACGAAACACTGGATAATTGGAAGTCCTTTGGTCAATGAATCAGTGTATTTAAATTACATTCACAGCTCCCTGCAGAGTATACACTGTTAACTACACACTTCCTAAAAACGGAAAACGCAGTTTTGTATTCGTGGGAACTCGTCTAATGCCATTTACCGGAGAAAATAACGGTAATTAGAGAATGACACATTGTACTTATTCACATTCACGTAATGCAATATTATAATAATTGGTATTACACTGTTAGTACTGTTTGCTTTAGTGTCAACGGTAATGCTTTACAAACACAGGAGCTGATTTACATGTTTGTTAATTATAAGAAAATCGGAGTGGAGAGAGAGGGGCAAATCCTTCTAATGTCGTATCCTGGCGTGTGGATGGATTCATTTTTAATTTTATATCAAACCTGTTAAATAATTTCCCAACTAACACAACACGGCATGAGGATATATAAGATACGGCATATATGTCAGCATATGCGTTTCATGTACATGACAGTTATACCTATTTTCTTTTCGTCTTAATGTTTGTGTATTGTGTAGAATTACTTATCAAAATGTATATGTGACACACGGTTAGCGCTGTTCTGCATTGTTATGCTATTGTGTTGTGTTCCTTTTGTGTTATTCTACTCTCTTGTGTTATTGTGTTGCGCTGCTATTTTGTTATTCTACTCTCTTGTGTTGTTGTGTTGCGCTGTTGCTTTGTTATTCTATTCTCTTGTGTTATTATATTGCGCTGCTATTTTGTTATTCTATTCTCTTGTGGTGTTGTGTTGCGCTGCTATTTTGTTATTCTACTCTCTTGTGTTATTATATTGCGCTGCTATTTTGTTATTCTATTCTCTTGTGTTATTATATTGCGCTGCTATTTTGTTATTCTATTCTCTTGTGGTGTTGTGTTGCGCTGCTATTTTGTTATTCTATTCTCTTGTGTTATTATGTTGCGCTGCTATTTTGTTATTCTACTCTCTTGTGGTGTTGTGTTGCGCTGCTATTTTGTTATTCTACTCTCTTGTGGTGTTGTGTTGCGCTGCTATTTTGTTATTCTACTCTCTTGTGGTGTTGTGTTGCTCTGCTATTTTGTTATTCTACTCTCTTGTGTTGTTCTATTGCGCTGCTATTTTGTTATTCTACTCTATTGTGTTGTGTTGCGCTGCTGTAATTCTGTTGCGGTGTGGTGTGCTGCTATGGTGTGCTAATCTGTTGTTCTGTATTGGTACTATACTGTGTTGCGCTGCTTCTTCGTTTTGTGTGTGATGCGATGCTGGGTTCCTAAGTTGTATTGTGTTGTTCAGCTACTCTGAGCTGCTTCATAGAACGATTATTCTACTCTCTACATCACGATACATCTGGTTCAAGTGCGACAAACACAGACTAACCCAATTACACAGAAACGGCGCCACAGTTTCACACATCGTATTCATTACAGTATCAGGAAACCCGTGAAGATCCGAGTCAGAATTGATCTTCAGTAACCCATTCTTGTCGCAAAAGGATCTAACGGGATCTTTTTGTCAAACTCGCTGATTTGGCTGGCACATGTCATCGTATCCCATTTGCGTGTAGATCGATGCTCATGATGTTGATAAATGGATTGTCTGGCCCAGACTCGATTATTTACAGACTGCCGCCATATAGCTGGAATATTGATTAGTGCGGCATTAAACAACAAACCAACTAACTGCAGCGTCAGGAGTATGGATGTCCACCGGGTCCGGAAGCCAGTTGTCTCCCTTGATTAGACCTAAAACGGATTCATGGAGAAATCCATACTCGTACCCGCTGTATATATTTTGCCTCTGATACACCTTTACTCTGTCAAACAACGATTGGTCTCTAAGTGCATATAAGTGATGGGGTATATGGCATACAGATCGTACAGTAACTGCATTTGTGTCTTCAGCTATCAGCAGACATAATTTGTGTTGTAGTAGTTTACTGTTATACAATGTTGCGTTTGTGTTACATTGTTTCTGTTTAGGCTCAGTTGATTCATTTTTTACAGCTACTCTATTGAGTACAGCCATTGTATTCACTTTGATACAATATGTATTAATTTGTAAATGAGACAATGGTAACGGAAAGATGCAAGCGGACACAGTTTGGTAGATTGTATGAAAGCGTATTACTGCCACAGTAATTATTACATCCACAGAGACATGTCACAGAGACAATGTACAAGATCTATTTGTTTAACGTTAACAGCCAGTTGGGTAATACCCATTATCATGATAGGGGTGTAACTGGCCATTACAATTATTGTAGGCGGTATGAGGTGTAGACGATAGGCTTGTTCCCATTTCGCCTACATCCCATTTCGCCTACACCCTTATCAAAACAAATTTACACTTGAGTGAACATAGGATTTGTATGCTGTTCACTGTAGTTTAATGGACTAACCCAAATAATGAGAAACAAACTTGTGAGTCGGGTTGAGTTGGTCTGACCATTTTAATAGTGTATATATATATATATATATACATATATATATATATATACATATCAAATAATATACATGTAATCATAAACTGGAACATATCAAGTTATATCAAATCACATAAGCACAAATATATCAAGTCACTGAAGATATCAAGTTTATATCATTGTTCTCAACAAATCTAATGTATTTGCAGTTTAATTAAATGTCCAGCTGCGTCCAGAAACTGCAGCACTGTCTTTCTTCCAGTTCCATGTACAGGGTCTCTGCCTCACTCAGAATATCTAGCATATCAGTTGTAGCAAATACGAGCAGCTTGTCGTCAACACCGTCGTCGATGCACAGGAACTGGTCGCCATTTAGGGTCTGAGTCCAAGGTTCTTGCAGATCAACCTCAGCTCGAGACTGGGGAAGAGGTGGAATACACTTGCTTCGCTGTCGATACAGTCCAGACTTCAAGCTGTTGAAGGATGGCATGGTTGCTGCGTTCACGTCTTCAGCTGCATTCAGCTCATCATCGTAGATCTGCTGAACTGGAGTGATGTCGGTCTGCACACGTTCACGGAGTCGGCTTAGAAGACGCGTATGGTCTTCATTCTCTCTGGGATGGCAGTGGTCAGATGCAATGGTGATGTGGTCCCCTATGGTACTGCAATGTGCCTTGCATCCTGTCTGAACACACATTTTCACATTGCGCCCCACTTTTTCCTGTAGGTTTATTAAAT